CAGAGCAGAGCAACATCCACTTAATGCTGAGCCTCAGCTCCTCCCAGACAGGCCCACTCCAGGGAAAGCAGGTCCTCACTCACTGAGCTGCCCAGTCTGGCACCTGGATTTGGAATTTGGGGAAGTTTTGCAGGACAGGAGCTGCTGGGTGCTTCCTTCCCTTGGAGCCAGCATGTGGATATTTGGGAAGGTTGGATTTATGCAACTCCAAGCATTCATGGATGGTTTTGCCCATCCCTGGCAGCGGCCAAGGCCAGGCTGGATGGGGATTGGAACAACCTGGGATGGTGGAAGGTGTCCCTGCCCATGGAACTGGGCTTTAAGGTCCCTCCCAACCCAAACCATTCCAGGATTCCTGGATAACCACCCCAAGAGCCCAGCTTCAGGTCCAGCCTAAAGTAAGTAAAGCCACACATTGGCTGAGGACAGGAGACTCCACCTGATCCATGAACAAATCCTCATCCTTCTGGAAAACATTGTCAGGGACAACAAATCCCTCCTGGAGCAGGCTAGGAAATAATCCAGACCTGAGCCCTCCTAAATGGAATAAATCTAACGGGATCATCCCAGACCTGCAGCCCCAAGCTCCAAAGATCCATGCAATCCCATATTTCCATTTATTAAGGAGTAAAAGCAACACTTCCCACACTGTTGGGATTGCTGGGCTCAGTCCCCAGTGTCCTCTTCCTTTCCCATGTCACCCACAAAACCCAACACCCTCTGCCCCCACGGTGTGGAGGGGCTGGGAGGAGAGGGAATCTCCTGCGGGAGATGGGCTGGGAAGACAGGGAATCTCCTGTGGGAGATGGGCTGGGAGGAGAGGGAATGTCCTGTGGGAGATGGGCTGGGAGGAGAGGGAATCTCCTGTGGGAGATGGGCTGGGAGGAGAGGGAATCTCCTGTGGGAGATGGGCCGGGAGGAGAGGGAATCTCCTGTGGGAGATAGGACGGGAGGAGAGGGAATCTCCTGCGGGAGATGGGCCGGGAGGAGAGGGAATCTCCTGTGGGAGATGGGCCGGGAGGAGAGGGAATCTCCTGTGGGAGATGGGCTGGGAGGAGAGGGAATCTCCTGTGGGAGATGGGCTGGGAGGAGAGGGAATCTCCTGCGGGAAACGGGCTGGGAGGAGAGGGAATGTCTTGGCTGAGCTCCAGGGCTGAGCTGGAAGCACTCACAGGAGAGCACCTGCCTCCCCCAGCCCCTTTGCTCTGCTCCACATCTCAGCCAGGACCCCTTTGCTTCAAATCCCCTCTGCTTTGGGCTTTTGGGGGTTTTACCCAGGAAAGCCTCACCTCCCTTGGAGCACCCGAGCATGTCTAAAACCTTCCAAATTCTCTTTACACCCCCATTTATTCCATTTGCACTTATCTTTTCACACATCCTGCCTCATACCTGTGGCCAGCTCTCACCACAGGATTTTCCTGCCTCTCCTTGGGGTCCTCCCTCTGAATCCAGGGAGAGAAGCAGAAGCTCCGAGCACCCCAGAGCCCAGCCCGGGTGTGGCACCTCCATCCCACAGACACAGGCAGGAGGGCAGTGCCCTGGCCTGAGCTCTGGGGACACTCCCGACCCTCGGGAAGCTGTTCCCACCTCGCTGCACAGGCGTTCCCAGGTGGAGAAGCTCCTCAGCCTCCCCTCAAGGACACGGCAGAGGTCACTGCCCTGCTCCTTCAGGCAGGAGGGATGTGCTGGGACACAGGGAGGTGGCCCTGACCCCCTCACCTGCCAGCTGGCTCCCGGCACACGGATCCCCCTCTCCCTCCAGCCTGGAGCCACACAGACCTTCGGGATGGGAAGGATGCTTTCCCTACCTCCTCAGTGCTGGGAGCTCCCGGGATCACACCCGGATTCCTCCCTCCAGCCTCGGGAAGCAGCTCCTGGGACCTTTCCAGGATGGCTGGAGGAGACCCCGCTCCGCAGGCACCGTGGTGGCTCCGGCAGCAGCTGCAGAGCCGGGAATGCCCAATTTCCTCCCGTTTCTCCGGGAGGATAAAGTCCTGCAGCAGCCCCAGAGCCGGGAATGCCCAATTTCCCCCCGGAGAAAGTCCTGCAGCAGCCCCAGAGCCGGGAATGCCCAATTTCCTCCCGGAGAAAGTCCTGCAGCAGCCCCAGAGCCGGGAATGCCCAATTTCCTCCGGAGAAAGTCCTGCAGCAGCCCCAGAGCAGTCTCGGCTGTGCAGCCAAGCAGCGCTCCAGGATTTATTCAGTCCGGGACAACGGGGGGCTCGGGGAGAGCCGCAGCCAGCCCCGCCTGGCACCGGCACATCCCAGCCTGGCACCCGGCAGGGGGACGCAGCTCCTCCCCAGCGCCCACTGCCCGTTCCTCTGTAATTCCCGAATTTCCTCGTGCCACGGCACCGGATTGTCCTGCTGGAAAGGGCCTGCCGCAAATCCCGTCTTATTTATGATTTCTCCCGGCTGTGCCGCTCCTGCACCGCCGGGGCAATCCCTCCCTCCCTGCCGGGACAAGCCCAAAGGGACAATTCCGCCTGATTTCCAGGCTGCATCCCAGGCAGAGCCGAATCCAGCTCCTCCGGTGCACACAGCTCCCACGCAGAGCTCGCTCTGTCCCGCAGACCCACTGACCCCTCCGCAGGATGCTCAGCCACGGCCGCGCTGCCCGCAGAGATCAGAGGAATGTTCCAGCAGCACCAACATCCCGCCGCTGCCGGGGATCCTCACCTGGGTCTGGCTCCAGCTCTCAGCCGGAGTCTGCTCCCAACACATCAGAGCTCCAACAGTCCCACCGGGATCTTCCCAAGCGGGGATCCCACTCCCAGCGCTTTGTACAGCCCTGCCCCGAGTTTTGGGGTTGATCCCAAACCCCGCTGGTTAATCAGGGCTGAAACACCTTTCGGATCAGCTCTGCTCAGCAAAGCTCCGCATCCCAAAGCACTCCAGGGTGCACAACCCCAGAGGAGCAGCTCCAGGGACTCCCGGGATTGCGCGAAGGGGACCGGGCACAGAGGAGCCCGGCGGGATGGACCGGGCCGGGCCGGGCCGGGCCGGACCGCGCTGCAGCCACGGCACACCGGGGGGACCTCGGCTCGGACACGGGAAAAATCGGGGTGCGACTGCGCTGGGGGCACCGCGGAACGTGGGAAGGCAGCGGCGGGGACGGTGCAACATTAATTTAATTATTTCTGATTAACACCCAAGGCAGCAGCCAGCCCCTCACACGCCAGACGGTCATCCCCATACCAGAGAGCATCACTTGGAGCCGGTGCAAAAACAGCGAGAGGGAAAGCAAGCTCTCGGTGGGCAGCGACCCGCAGGGAGCTCCCGAGCGGTTCCCGCATGGCCGGGGGTCCCTGCCCGGCCATGCGGGACCTGCCGGACACACCGAGACCCGCCGGACCCTCCAGAACCTGCCGGACACACCGAGACCCGCCGGACCCTCCAGAACCTGCCGGACACACCGGCACGCACCAGAACCTGCCGGACACACCAGGACCTGCCGGAACCTGCCGGACACACCGGCACCCACCGGAACCTCCCGGACACACCGGGACCCACAGGACCCTCCCGGACACACCGGGACCCACAGGACCCTCCGGAACCTGCCGGACACACCGGCACCCACCAGAACCTGCCGGACACACCGGGACACACCGGAACCTGCCGGACACACCGGGACCCACAGGACCCTCCCGGATACACCGGGACACACCGGGACCTGCCGGACACACCGGGACCCACAGGACCCTCCCGGATACACCGGAATACACCGGAACCTGCCGGACACACCGGGACTCGCCGGAACCTGCCGGACACACCGGGACTCGCCGGACCCTCCGGAACCTGCCGGACACACCCGGACACACCGGGACCTGCCGCACCCTCCGGGATCGCTGCGACCCCGAAGCGTTCCGGGCACCGCGGGCAAACGCGCAGCGAGCGGCGGGGCCGGGAGCGGAGCGCGGAGCGGGACACGGATCGGAACCGACACCAACCAGGAGTCCCTTAAACCGACAGCAGCCAGGGGTGCCCTTGGACCGACACGAACGGGGGACAGGGACCGGGGCCAACAGGGGATCCAGGGGACCAGGACCCTCTCGGACCGAGAGGGAACAGAACCGACACGACCCGGGGGTCTACTGGACCGACTCGACCCGGGAACACGGACCAGAACCGACACGACCCAAAGGGCCCCGGAGAGGACCGAGAGCAGCCGGGGCTCCCGACGCGCACTCACCGCGGAGAAGTTGTGCGGGCCGCAGAGCTCGCCGCGGTACTTGCAGGACAGCAGCATGTCCTCCAGCTGGTGGCCCAGGCGGTCCATGAAGTCGGCGCTGATGCCCTCGTAGTGGCGGGGCGGCAGAAAGAGGCGGAAATCGGCCAGTTTGGCGAACCAGCGCAGCCGCGCCTCGTCGGCGCGCAGCAGCTCGGTGAGCAGCGGCCGCGCGGTGCGGTTGGGCAGCAGCAGCCCCAGCCAGTGCCCCGCGTAGTACAGGTCGCCCTTGGAGAGGCGAGGGAAGCGCAGCGGGTTGTTGTTGCACAGCGTGACGGCGGGGAAGGGCAGCTGGCGGCTCCACTCGGTGCGCACGCGGGTGTGCGAGGGGAAGGCGAGCCAGTGCAGCAGGCGGTCGGAGGACCAGGCCAGCAGCAGCCCCAGCGCCGTGCAGAAGGCGAGCACCCAGAGCGCCCGGCGCGCCGGCGCCGCCCGCGCCGAGCACATGAGGCGCAGCCCGTGCAGCCGAATGCGCAGCGCCGGCGCCCGGCGCCCCCGCGCCATGGGCGCTCCCCTCCTCCTCCTCCTCCTCCTCCTCCTCCCGCCGCCGCCGCTCGTCCTGCTGCGGGCCGGGCTCAGGGCGAGCAGCGCCGCGCCATCCCCGGGCCCCCGCCGGCTGCGGCCCCGAGCGGCGGGGGCAGCGCCCGCGGGCGGCCCGCGGCCCCGAGCTGCGCGGCGGGCGGCAGTTCCGGCAGCGCGGCATGCCGGGCCCGGGGCCACCGGGGCCACCGGCGCCGCCCGCCCCCGTGCCTGTCGCTGCCCCTGTCCCTGCCCGCCCGCGCCGCTCACATCCCGCGCTACCGCGCCCCGCCCGACACCGACACCGACCGAGCCCCGCCGCGACCCTCCCGGGCTCCGAGCCCGCGGACCCCGGGACCCCGGTGGGGAGAGCGCTGCGGGACCCCCGCGCTACCCCCGGCCCGCGCCCGCCCGGCCCGCGCCGCGCCCGCCCCGCGCTGCCATCGCCGAGCGCTCCGCCGGGCGCGCCCCGGCCGCGGGCAGCGAGCGGCGGCGGCAGCAGGAGGCTGAGGAGGAGGAGGAGGAGGAAGAGCGGGACGAAGCTTCCCGAGGCGCCGGTCCCGGCCGCTCGGCGCTCGGGAGGCGGAGGGAGCGATGCCGGGCGCCGATCGCGCTGCCGCTTTCCCGGAGTAGCCCCCCGCTCCTCCTCCTCCTCCTTCTCCTCCTCCTCCTCCTCCGCCCCCCGTTATCCCCCGGCTGCCGCCGGCCCCGGCCCCCCCGCTGCCTCCTCCCTCCTCCGGCAGGAGTTTGTTTTTCTGCTGTTCAGCAGCCCCGGGGGAGAACATAATATCAAGAAAAGCCGGGGCTAAGGGAGGGGAGGCTTGCGGCGGGCTCCGTGTGGCCGCTGCTCTCTGGGGAGGGGGGGATGCTTTCGGAGGGGGCTCCGGGCTCTCTGCTCTCCCCGGCGAAGCTGCTCCCCGCGCCTCGGCTCCATGGAACGAATGGGAAAGGGAGAAACGCGTTCCGGGAAGCATCGCCCCCGCCCCTCGCTGCCCCTCACCCCGAGCCCGCGGAGCCCTCCGGGGTCAGGGGCTCCTCCTTCCCCGATCGGACACCGAAAAAGCCCCTTTCCCTTAGCAGCCTGTGCGACGGGAATAACTCGGGATGTGGATTGGCATCTCCTCGGGATTGCTGAGCTCGGATCTCTGCTAGCGGCTGCCGTTACCTTCATTTTGCTTTCAAACAGAACCGAGAAACATTCCTCTAATTGTGTCCAATTAAGCTGTAAGTGCCGGTAACTGCTCCGAATCCCCTCTGATATGTGATTTTTTTTTCCCTCGGAATTAATTTTCCCTGTGCATTTGGAGCCGTATATTTTTACCCGATAGATGGAGTCGTTACAGCCTGGCTCTCGCCAGCCTCTCCCGGCGAGTTGCTTTTTTTATTGTGGCAAAGCTGCGAACGTGCAGCAGCCCCGGTTTGGGGGGCAGCAGTCGGCCCAAAATTCCGCTCCCTGTGCGGAGACCCGGGGGGAAACGGGAGCGGGAGGCTGAGCAGGGCTGGAGCGGTGGCAGCAGCACAAACATTGCGTGAGCTCAGCTAGATGCCCTCGGATATCTCAGGTGGTTTTTCCCGAGCTCGTATCCGTGAAAAAAAATTTCCCTTTTTTTTTTTTAGCAGCAAATCCTTCCCAACAGCCCATCCCCGGCCGTGACCTTTGGGAACAGAGTGGGAAGAGGCCGGCAGCTCCCGATCCATTCCAGCGGCATCTCTGGCAGCTCCAGCGAGCCTCTGCTGCCTGGATCCCGACTCGTTTTTCCCTGCCGCCTGTTGAAAGCAGTGGGAGTTTTTCCCCTTGGCTCTCTCTCAGGATAATCAGCATCCCGAGTGCTTCCCCACCAGGTGGGCCGGGGCTGCTTTAGCCACGATTTATTGCCACAAACCCAGGGAAATAAAAGGTGCCCGACTATAAACATCCTCCGGGTTGCCTCCCTCTCCATGCTCATCCCAGTGGGGAAAGCCCAGCCCAGCCCTGCACTGACCTCGCTTTCAGCTCTCTCTTCTCCAAAAGGTTTTTCACTCTTTTTTGCCTTTTGGCGGGGGCAGGTGCAGCCTGGCAAAAGGGGTTTGTGAAGGAAAGAGCAGTAGGTGTGCATGGGAAGTGGCTTTTTCCTTGAATCTACTCCAAATGATCCACTCGTATCTGATTTATTACAGGGAAGCAATTTTTTGTAATTAGCTGGCAATGACTGATGGCAAAGGGCAGTGGGATGGCCAAGGCCAGCTGGACCTGGAATCCAAAAGGTTCCCCATGAAAACCAAAGTCAAAGCCAACCCAAACCTGAGGAGGAAATTCCAAGGTATCACCGGGTGGGACATTGCCCTAGCCTTTGGAAATTCTCTCCGTGTTCTCAGTGATTTGGGAAAGCAGCTCCTTCCCTGCAGCCGAGCCCTGGGTAATTCCTCAGGCAGCCACAGCAGCTTAAAAGCTGATTGGACCTAATTAAGTCAAATAAGAAATAATAGAGCTGATCCAGAAATATTGCTAATTAACCAACAACTCACTTGAAAATTACCCTTTGAGCTGGGTGAGTTCTCTCCTTTGGAGGAGAATGGATTTGGGATTCTGTAGTTTGGGATACTTGACAAATTCAGTGAATTATTGTGGGGGAATTCCACCATTCCCTCCCCAAAACATCCCCTGTGTGCCCCTGAAAGGGGACAGGAAGACAACTATTTGGAAGTTGTTCCAAACAAAAATTTGGCTTCTTTTGAAATTTCATTTTCACTTCAAACATCGACCTAGGTGAAGACAAAAAGGATTAAAGAAAAGCTTGAAATCCTCTGGAAAGGAAATCATAAAACTTTGTTCTGTTGGGTTATATCAGTATTAGTAGTGGTATTAGTATTAATATTAGTATCAGGATTGGTATTTTCCTGGAAGGGAGCAAAGGGAGGGAGGATCCCACTCCAAACTCCCCTCTCCAGACCCACAGGGTGACTGGAGCCCCCTGCCCCGGCCACGCTCCCCCCTGTGTCCACTGGAGCATCCCAGGGATTGATCAGGGATTGATGGGATTTATTCCCTTCTCTCCTGAGTGGTCCTGCTGGGTGAGGGGGCAGCAGGTTTATCCCTGCTGGATAGATTGGAGGAGCTCTGGGACATCCTCTGCTCTGCTGAGCTTTTAGGGATCAGAAGCAGGGGAGAAATTACAGGGCTGGGGTCAAATGGGGCAGGATGGGCCTTGGATTTTGGGAAACAACTCCTCCCTGGGAGGGTGGGGAGGCCCTGGAATAGAATTCCTGCCGAGGCTGTGGCTGCCCCTGGAGCCCTGGCAGTGTCCCAGGCCAGGCTGGCCAGGGCTTGGAGCAGCCTGGGCCAGTGGGAGGTGTCCCAGGGTTTGGAACTGGATGGACTTTAAGGTCCCTCCCAACCCCAACCATTCCAGGATTCCCTGATCAACCTTCCTAAGCTGGGCTGTGTGCTCCCAGAGCCCCTGGAATGCAAAGGTGAGGATGGATTTTTAGCTCTCAGGAGAACAAGGGGCAGACACTGAAAGGCCTCTTGTCCCCAGGCAGGGAGCTCAGGTCCCCTTGGGTTGGGAATGGGATCCCTTTTCCAGCACAGGAACATCTCCAGGGGCAGGAGCAGAGCCTGGCACCACTGGGCACAGCTGGGCACAGCTGGATGTGCCCATCCCACAGAGCCCTGCCTGGGCTGGGCCGGGCTTTGGGACCCAAGGAGTCCCTGGGGATGGGTATGACCCCACAGCCCCTCCCAGGACATGTGTGACCCCACAGCCCAGGGTGTCGGGGCAAAATGAGCCTTAAATGTGTTCTGCAAGCCCCAAACCTTCCAGAAAAATTCCCTGCTCTGGCCAAGCCCTGCAGAAACAATTCCTGCTGGAGCCACCGTGGAACCAGAAAGGCACAAAACATTGGAAATTGGGGTTTCCATGGAAGCCACCACTCGGCCCTAATTCCAGCCCTGCTGCCTCAGATCCCAGAGAATGTCACAGCCCCACCCAGAGCGACCTGGGGCAGCGGAGCTGTGGGAGCCCCCAGAAACATCCAAAGGGGGCTGTTCTTGTTTCCCTGGGCTTTGTTTCATTTTTCATGCAAATAAATGAAATAAATGCTTGGGCTTCCAGCTGGGAAATTCTCCCAAGGAATTGAGGGAATTTTGAGGTCTGCAGAGGTTTGGGGCTGTTTGTTTGAATTCGGGGAGGTGAAATCTTCCATCCATACCAAAATATTGGGAGCACATAAATAATGCCAGGATTTCTGCGTCTGCTGCTTCACCCCTGCAGCACCAGAGGAGTAAAAACGTTTGGATTTCACAACCCTGCTCCAAAACATCAACAACAACAAAATAAAATAGAGAGACTTTGGATGTCTCATTTCCAGGGCCTTGTGTGTGTTTAAAGGAGAAAACCTGGGAGAGATCAAACAAATGCCCAAGTGAACCGAGGTGTGGCTGCTCCTGTGGGAATTACACTGGGAATCCCGCGTGGGGAAGGGAGATGAGGTGGGATTTTCCAGGCTTGCACAGAAGGATCAGTTGGGAAGATTTCAGGAGCAGATCTTGGCTGGGCTGCAGAGACCCCGCCCATGGGGGGGTCCCCATCCCTGCACATCCCAAAGGGTTTAATCCCCCTTCCTCCCAGCTTTTGGAGGGGACTTGTGGCTGATCCAGGAGCTGAATTTGGGAATCAGCTGTGGGAAGGAGGTCCTGTCCTGTGCCACACGTGACAGGGCTGTCACATGGCCTTTAATTAGCGGGGTCTGCTTTAATTGGCATTTTCTGGCAGAGCCATTATTCCTGGCCTTCCTTAAAGGAATAAAAGGCTAATCCATAAATAAATGTGTTTATAGAGATAGATATTTAAATATCCCCTTCTTTTCCTTCTGCAGGTAGGGAAGAGGAAGGATTTGGATCTATTTTAAGCTTGCAGCTGGCATCCTCCCAATTATCTCCCCCTTTCCCCCCCCATTTTCCATTTCACTGCCTAAGAAGTGAGGGGAAGAAATGAAACAAATGAAAACACCTCTGGATTTGGGAAGGATGGATTGAACAGGAATTCTTTGGAGCAAATTAAACAGCAAAGTTCTTGGGCCTCTTCCTTTCAAATTCTTTTTTTGCCATCAGGAATGGGGCACCCTGGACCTGCCAATTCCCTGGAACCGGGCCCAGGCCAGCTCTGCCCCAATGCTCCCTGTGGATTTTGGTGGCCCCAGGGCTGGCCAGGAGCCTCTCCCCATCCAGAGGCTGGGAAATGAATCCATCTTCAGGAGCACAAAGAGGATTTCAGTATTGAATATTGAATATTGAATATTATGTTTTCTGCCTCTCAGACACACAGATTATTCCATTTTTTTTCCCCTGAACCTCTTAACTTCAGAGCCTGGGGGTTTTCTGTTCCTATTTATTTTCCTTTTTCCCCAATTCCTGAAGGGCTGGGATTTGCTGGCAGCTCCTGGCTGGGGGAGCTCCTGTTTTGGCTGCTGAGGGGCTGCAGGGAGGGGCGATGCTCTCCTGCTTCCCTTGGGAGTTCAGCCACACCCCAAGGCTCTTCCTGCTCCAAAGCTTTTCCTGCTCCATGGCTGGCACCACTGGAGATGTTCTGCTTTAATTCAAAAGGAATCTTGGGAAGGAAGAACTTCCTGAGCTCATTTTACTGTTCAGAGCTGGTTTGTTCAAGGCTTTGATCCTGAGGTGTGGGTGGGAGCTGATCCATATGGGATTGGGCACCCCCTGCACCTTTATATGGGATTGGGCATCACCTCATTTAGGATTAGGCATCACCTACACTTCTATTTGGGATTAGGCATCACCTCCAGTTTCCTTTGGGATTTAGGCGCCTCCTGCACCTTCATTTAGGGCTGAGCAGGACCTACACATTTATTTAGGATTGGACATCACCTCTGGATCTGGCAGTGAGATGTGACAGTGGGAAATGTGGGAGGGAATTCCCAGCCTCCCTCTCGTGGGGGGATGATTTGGATAGCCCATGGGAATAAGGCTGGAGGGGGCTGGAGGCTCCTCTGCAGCCCCCCTGACCCAAAGCTCCCATTCCCAAGAGGAACAGCAGCTGGAGCAGAGGAGGCTGGAGCTTCCCAGGGGACAGGGCCAGCACAGCAGCCCGTGGGTCACCCTGGGACACCTGGGAGGGCCGTGCTGGATGTTCCATGTCCCACCCTGTGCCTGGAGAAACAATTCCCTGCTGATTCCCCCCTTCCTGAACCCTTTTTCCACCCATGAAATTCACTGGACCGGGCAAATCCAGAGGAAAACTGCTCCGTGTTTGGATGCTGGAGAGGATGGAAAATCCTCTCTTTCAGGGAGTTTGGCTTTCAAACCAAGTTCAGGGAGCAATTCCTTAAGTTAAGGTTTGTTCCTTGTCATTCCAAGGAATTTGAAGGCTCTCTTGGAAGCAAGGTGGGAAAAGGGGAAAAGCCCTTTCTCCTCAAACCTGGAGGCATTTCCAGTCCAAGAGGCTGCCACATCCCTGGTCTTATGGCAGCAGGAGGGAAGTGGCAAAATGAGGTTTCAGATCCTGAAGGATAAAAGGGAAGGGTCACCTCCACATCAGCCTCTGATGCCACAGCACCAGGACCACATTGGGAAGTTCCTTTGTTCCCTGAATCTGCTGGAAAATGAATACGGAACTCCTGTGCCAGTCTGGAGCCCGAACCTTGGAAGTTTGGGCTGGAATTTTTGGGATTGAACAGCCCTGGAGTGGTCCCTGGGTCAGCCCCCAGAGCTGCCACTGAAACCTCCCCATTCCCAAACCCTTGGATTTGTGGCACAGGAATTGCAGGGAAATTTGCTGCTGCAAAAATTCCCATTTAGGGGTTGGAGGAATTGGCCCTGTGTGGGGAATGATGGAACCCTGGAATGGTTTGGGTTGGGAGGGACCTTAGAGCCCATCCTGCTCCCAGCCTGGGGACACCTCCCAGTGTCCCAGGCTGCTCCAACCCACCCAGCCTGGGCTGGGACACGGCCAGGGCTGGGGCAGCAGGGATGGAGATGGCTCCAGAGTGACACCCCGAGCTGGGGGCTTTGGGGACAGGAGGGGCCCAGGCTTTGGGAAGGTCCCCGTGCCACGTTCCTGTCCCAGCTCATCCCTGCTCCGCTCTGCAGCTCCAGCCGGGCACTGGGGTCACCTTGGAGGAAATCAATAAATGCAATTACTGTAAAAATCCCCGCAGCACCTGGGGGATGAGGCTGGAGGCACAAACAGTCCTGACGTGACCCTGCTCCCCGTGGACTCGGCAGAAATGGGGGAGAATTCAGTGCTCCTCCCGAGGGAAGCAGCCCCTTTCTGCTCACGGCAAAACCTCCCCCTCTCCATCAAAAAAAACCTTCAATTCCTGTCAAAAATCCCTTCAAAGGATCAAATCTGACAGCCCCAAAGCTGCTCCAGTTCCTTGCAGATTCTGTGGGAATGCTGCCAGCGATTCCAGCAGGGCTCATGCAGGCAATTCCCAGGGTGGGAATCCCAGGTGACTGCACACTCTCCACACACCAGTGGCAGCTATGAGAGAATTTGGGAATTTTGACCTCCTTCCTGTGGATTTCCAGGGTTGGAGGCCACGGGGAGGGTGCTGAAGGTCTGTCCTGCTGATACCCTGTCACCTCAGGCCCAGGGGGATCCCCAGGGATCCGGGGAAGCGGGACAGGCTGGAAGCAGAGGCAGGTAAGTGCCACCTGCGGAGCTGCCAAACTGAAAGGATCCAAAGAATTTTCCTTTGGCAGCCTAATGGTGACAGCAGTTGTGTGGGAAGATTAATGGAGAAAAGGTTGGATAAAATAGAAGCTCCATCCTGAAGTTTTTCAGCTGCTTTTTT